TTATATTTGATCTAGAGTTTTTACCTCAAAATATATTCAGTTTCCCTCTGACTGTGACTGTAACCATTTAAGGCTGGTTGAAATTTAATACATTTATATTTGTTGTTTGCATAGTTTTTAAATATCAATGTACTTCTGATATCAGCTCTTTTAGACTTTGCTGTCATTTGTTTTTCCACATTATTTATCTTGTGTTGCCTGGCAGGTTATATCTGACATTGCTCAGAAATGTTTGTGGTAACACTTTATAATGAGTACACACTATTAAGCATTAGTTAAGCATGAATAAATAATGAAATAATTTATAACGCATGAATACACATTAGTATGTAGTTTATAAACACAGTTAAAAATGTTTTATTCATCATTTATAAGAACATTAGTTATGGATTAGTAAATACTGAATTCATCATTTATAAAGCATGTTTCTGCTGTAAATAGTCATTACTATGTGGTTTATAATCACAGTTATAAATGTTTTACTCTTCATTGTACTGTACATTTCTGCATGCACTTGCACATCCACTATTCAGACATGTATTAATGATTAGTGATTGTGTTAGCAGATGTTCTATAAAAACTCAGAACAAATTCATTTTCTAATGATGGCCTATAAACAGTTATTAATGCAAGAATTCATGAATTGAGGCAGTTACAAAGCACGTACTACCCGTTAATTAAGTATTTTGCGTGAGCTGATCTAAAGTGAGCACTATCTATGGCTTATTAAGCATTTACAAATGAGATATAAAGGCTGGCAATGCCTCGAGACTCACAAAATGTTCAGTTATCTTAACAGACGAAGGAGAGACACAACACAAAGGGATATAGAACATATTGTATTGATATTTACTGCAACTTCCCAACATATTGTATGAAGACGAACAAGGGTGGTTTATGAAGACATGCTGTTGTTGTGATCTTATCTGTTTGGGACATGTATGTTGAGCTTGCAATCCCGCTCTCAGCACGTCATCAACGTGATGACGGTGGGAGGCGGGATGTTACGTCATATTTACGTTAACTCTCAGAAGTTTCTGACAGTGCAGCCAAGGGGAGCATGGAGAAGCACATTGGAGTTGGCGGCCGTCAGCGGCACTAGTGGTGAGTATGTGTCTTTGTTTGGTAGCACACATTATGGTTGAAAGCTAACGTTAGCTTGTCAGCAGCTGCAGGTGTTTGCCCCTCGCTCCCCGACTAAGGCTGCCGCTGCTAGGCACTCACCTCGCCCAGCTAGACAAGACTAGACTAGGTTGGCTTAGCCACCGCGGGCGGGTCGGTAATGTTAGTAACGTTAGTCGGGGAGCGAGGGCAAACACCTGCAACTGCTGACAAGTTAACGTTAGCTTTCAACCATAATGTGTGCAACCAAACAAAGACACATACTCACCACTAGTGCCGCTGACGGCCGCAGAGCCGACTCCAATGTGCTTCTCCATGCTCCCCTTGGCTGCAATGTCAGAAACTTCTGAGAGTTAACGTAAATATGACGTAACATCCCGCCTCCCACCGTCATCACATTGATGACGTGCTGAGAGCGGGATTGCAAGCTCAACGTACACGTCCCAAACAGATAAGATCACAACAACAGCATGTCTTCATAAACCACCCTTGTTCGTCTTCATACAATATGTTGGGAAGTTGCAGTAAATATCAATACAATATGTTCTATATCCCATTGTGTTGTGTCTCTCCTTCGTCTGTTAAGATAACTGAACATTTTGTGAGTCTCGAGGCATTGTCAGCCTTTATATCTCATTTGTAAATGCTTAATAAGCCATAGATAGTGCTCACTTTAGATGAGCTCGCGCAAAATACTTAATTAACGAGTAGTAAGTGCTTTGTAACTGCCTCAATTCATGAATTCCTGCATTAATAACTGTTTATAGGTCATCATTAGAAAATGAATTTATTGTGAGTTTTTATAGAACATCTGCTAACACAGTCACTAATCATTAATACATGTCTGAATAGTGGATGTGCAAGTGCATGCAGAAATGTACAGTACAATGAAGAGTAAAACATTTATAACTGATTATAAACCACATAGTAATAACTATTTACAGCAGAAAATGCTTTATAAATGATGAATTCAGTATTTACTAATCCATAACAAATGTAAGCTTATAAATGATGAATAAAACATTTTTAACTGTGTTTATAAACTACATACTAATGTGTATTCATACGTTATCAATGATGATTTCATTATTTATTCATGCTTAACTAATTCCTAATAGTGTGAACTCATTATAAAGTGTTACCCAAACCCTCCATTTAGGCACTTGTTTTTTTAGAGCCTTTTATTTTGAGTGTTATGCAAAAAAGCCAAAGTGCCACATTTAAATAGTTTCAGGGTTGACCACCATCTTTCTTTGCAAAAGAATCAAGTTAACACTGAATCAACTGAAGCTCCTGAAGCCTCAGAGACACAAGCTGCTGAGGAACAAGACATAACTCCATCTCCACCTGCTGGTGAGGAAGCTCCAGCTCCCCCTCCTGGTGAGGAACCTCCAGCTCTCACCGCTGGTGATGAACCAGTAGCTCCTCCTGCTGACGAGGGAACCAGTAGCTCCTCCTGCTGACGAGGAACCAGTAGCTCCCTCCTGCTGACGAGGAACCAGTAGCTCCTCCTGCTGACGAGGAACCAGCAGCTCCTCCTGCTGAAGAAGAGGTGGAGGAACCTGCAGCTGTCCCTGGTGGTGAGGAAGATACAGCAGAAAGTTCTGGCAGCCCAAAGGAGGAGAAGCCTGCTGTGAGTGGACAAGCTGATCTCACTAATGACACTGCTGCCATCTGTGAACACCTGATCATCACCTTCATCATCACTATCATCGTCATTAACACTATCATCATTATTACTATCAACACTATCACCATCATTGTCATCATTATCATCATCATCATCATCATCAACATAATCATCATTGTCATCAACAGAATCATCATTATCATCATCACTATAATCAGCATCATCTTGTGATCTTCCTCATTATTAATGCTGGAGATATAATGCACTTGTTTTAACACGTTTGTAGGCATGATGGCTGCCTCACGTATACTGTGTCTGTTGGTTGTGCATTTCTTAAGGGAATTGATGCGGTGTGGTTAAATAGAAAAATATATCTCTGGCTTAAACTGTAAATCATCAGCACTTTACGTTAAATCTAACATTTAAATTCTGAATTAATTTCATTACAGTTTGAGTTAAGTAGAGGTGAGTGATCAGACTTCATTTAAACAATTATTTAAGTAATAACATGATCAAATTTGATTTTATCTCCAAAGTCAACTGTTGGATCTCCAATCTCTGAGAAGGAAGAGGTTGGTGAGGTATGTACCGCCACAAGTTTTGATTGCTACATAAATAAAAACTTAACTTGATAAGTGTGAGTAGTTGTATTCAGATGGCTGGGCTGGACAGGATAATGTCAACTGAAGATAAGTCCTTGATGAAAATGTCAACAAAAAAATCCTGGATATCACTCCAACACAACACTGAACACTGAACTCCAACTGACTCTTAATTACCAAGTGTGTTCACTTTGGGAGATAAAGATCTTACACTAGAATCTTTTGTCAAATTGTATACATAAAAAAAATTATACTTATAATAATAATAATTATACTTAATTCTGACCCAAACACACACCACTTACTGATGTTTTATCTGTCAACAGCTACTGTAACTTTGTTTAATGAATGATAATTTCTGTTTACGCACAGATTGCTCCTGCTGACGAAGCTACAACATCTCCAGGTGAAGCAGCTCCATCGGTAACTATCATTAAATTATTTTACTAAACTTGAACATAAACTTGAAAATTTTTCCCTAAACGGCTATTGGTTGTGCAGCAGTAAAACAGAAACATAAAATTCATCAGCACATCAACTGGTTAGGCAGATAACACAAAAGATACAATATGTACCAGAGATAAAGACTATTTCAGTTATACTTAATACAGAAAAGTCATCAGCAAATGTGAACACTGAGGTCCCTGAATGGTTTGAAAGCTGTTTGGGATTTTCTTCAGTACCCCCTGATCTCTTTGTTCTTTGGTCACATTTTGTTGTACTTGTTTCTTATTGTAAGTTGTTAAAGACAATCTTTATTCGCAGTTATTTTAATGTATTTTATTTTTATAATAAAATAATCTAACAATAATATTATGTTATTATTTTGCACTAGTTTACTTTTTTCTGTGGTATTTTAAAAATTTTCTGTGCATGTACACATAGAGTGCTGCATGAATAATCATATATCTTATTAAAAATGTATTTTGAGAATTAAGTCTTGTTTGCATATTTAATTCAATTTTCAATTCAATTCAATTCAATTTTATTTGTATAGCGCCAATTCATAACAGAAGTTATCTCAGGACACTTTTCAAATAGAGCAGGTCTAGACCGAACTCTTTAACATTAATTACAGAGACCCAACAGTACCACCATGAGCAAGCACTTGGCGACAAGGGCAAGGAAAAACTGCCTGTTAAAAGGCAGAAACCTAGGACAGATCCTCCGGCTCTAGGTGGGTGGTCGTCTGTCTCGACCAGTTGGGGTGAGAGAGAGAGAGAGAGAGAGAGAGAGAGAGAGAGAGAGAGCGACAGACAGACAGACAGGTGCACAGCAACAACAGTATTGGCAATGGCAGTCAAGCAGGACCATGGCAGGGAGGCTCCACCAGGATCCATGAGAACCTGCGAGACGAGAAAGCACAAGAACTCCGGGGAAGAAGTGGAGTTAGTAACATGCATTAAAGGGACATGAATGAGTGCAGAAAGAGAGAGGAAGAGAGTAGCTCAGTGCACCATGGGAAATCCCCCGATAGTCTAGGCCTATAGCAGCATAACTAAGGGATGGTTCAGGACTCACCTGATCCAGCCCTAACTATAAGCTTTATCAAAGAGGAATGTCTTAAGCCTACTCTTGAAAGTGGTGAGGGTGTCTGCCTCCCGAACCACAACTGGAAGCTGGTTCCACAGGAGAGGAGCTTGGTAACTGAAGGCTCTGGCTCCTGTTCTACTTTTAGAGACTATAGGAACCACAAGTAGCCCAGCATTCAGAGAACGTAGTGTTCTAGTGGGGGTAATAGGGTACTATGAGCTCTTTAAGATATGAAGGGGCCTGACCATGAAGAGCTTTATAGGTGAGGAGGAGTATTTTAAATTCAATTCTACATTTTATAGGGAGCCAATGCAGAGTAGCTAGTACAGGAGAGATGTGATCTCTTTTTCTAGTTCCTGTCAGTACTCGTGCTGCAGCGTTCTGAATTAATTGGAGCGTTTTAATGGACTTATTGGGGCAACCTGATAATAAAGAGTTGCAGTAATCCAGCCTTGAAGTAACAAATGCATGGATTAGTTTTTCTGCATCTGTCTGTGATAGTATGTGTCTAATTTTTCTAATATTACGTAAATGAAAGAAGGCAGTCCTAGAGGTCTGCTTTATGTGGGAGTTAAATGACAAATCCTGATCAAAGATAACTCCAAGATTCCTGACAGTGGTGCTAGAGGCCAAGTTAATGCCATCTAGAGTGACTATATCTTTAGACAATGAGTCTCTAAGGTTTTGGGGCCAAGAACAAGAATTTCGGTTTTTTCTGAGTTTAACATCAGAAAATTGCAGGTCATCCAGGATTTTATGTCCTTAAGACATGTTTGTAATTTAGATAATTGATTAATTTCATTGGGTTTGATTGATAGATATAACTGCGTATCATCTGCATAACAGTGAAAGTTAATGGAGTGATTCCTAATAATGTTGCCTAAAGGGAGCATATATAAAGTAAATAGTATTGGTCCAAGTACAGAACCTTGTGGAACTCCATGACTAACTTTAGTATTTATGGAGGATTCATCGTTAACATGTACAAACTGAGTACGATCTGATAAGTATGACTTAAACCAGGTTAGGGCAGTTCCTTTAATGCCAATTTGATGCTCAAGTCTCTGTAAAAGAATATCATGGTCAATGGTGTCAAATGCAGCACTAAGATCTAATAATACAAGTACAGAGACAAGTCCATTGTCAGAAGCAGTCAGAAGGTCATTATTAACTTTAACCAGAGCTGTCTCTGTGCTATGATGAACTCTAAATCCTGACTGAAAATCCTCAAATAAACTATTGTTATGTAGAAAGTCACACAACTCTTTGGCGACTACTTTCTCCAGAATCTTAGAGAGGAACGGGAGGTTAGAAATCGGTCTATAGTTGGCTAAAACCCCTGGGTCAAGAGTAGACTTTTTAAGAAGGGGTTTAATTACAGCTACTTTAAAGGACTGTGGTACATATCCTGATAATAAAGAAAGATTAATCATATCCAGTAAAGAAGTGCCAATTAAGGGAACAACTTCTTTAAGCAGCCTAGTTGGGATCGGGTCTAACAGACAGGTTGATGGCTTCGATGAAGAAATGATTGAAGTTAACTGATGAAGATCGATAGCAGAAAAACAGTCTAAATATACATCTAAGTTTACATTGACAGAAGTCCCTGAACTTGGAGAGCCACTGATAACTGTTGATGGCAGTTGGTGATTAATTTTTTCTCTAATAGTAATAATTTTATTATAGAAGAAGCTCATGAAGTCATTGCTACTTAAGTTTATGGGGATATGTGGCTCGATAGAGCTGTGACTCTCTGTCAGCCTGGCTACAGTGCTGAAGAGGAACCTAGGGTTGTTCTTATTTTCTTCTATTAGTGCTGAGTAATAGGCTCCTCTGGCATTACGGAGGGCCTTTCTATAAATCTTAAGATCATCTTGCCAATTTGAGCGATATTCTGATAATTTGGAAGAGCGCCATTTCCTTTCAGATTTCCTAGCTATTTGCTTTAACTGGCGGGTTTGGTGGTTATACCAAGGTGCTAGTCTCCTATGTTTTAATAATTTCCTTTTTATAGGAGCGATAGAGTCTAATGTTGATCGTAGTGAGCCTGTAGCACTATCGACAAGATTATCAATTTCAGAGGGACTAAAGTTGTTATAGGACTCTGTTAAATTCAGACATGGCATTGAATTAAACACTGAAGGAATCTCCTCCTTAAATTTAGCTACAGCACTGTCAGATAGACATCTGCTGTAGGAAGTTTTGCCTAATGGCTTATAATCTAATAGTATGAATTCAAAAGTTATTAAATAATGGTCAGATAGGAAAGGATTATGTGGGAACACTATTAAATGTTCAATATCAATGCCATATGATAAAAACAAGGTCAAGAGTGTGATTAAAACAATGAGTTGGTTTATTTACACTCTGACAGAAGCCAATTGAGTCTATTAATGATATAAATGCATTACTAAGGCTGTCATTGTCAACATCCACATGAATATTAAAATCACCTACAATAATTACTTTATCTGATTTAAGGACTAAGCTTGATAGAAACTCTGAAAATTCAGATATAAAATCAGAGTACGGTCCAGGAGCGCGGTACACTATAACAAATAGAACTGGCTGCAGTGTTTTCCAGTTTGGGTGAGAAAGACTAAGAACAAGGCTTTCAAATGAATTATAATTTAGTTTAGGTTTAGGGTCCATTAAAACGCTCGAATCATATATAGCTGCTACTCCACCTCCTCGGCCTGTGCCTCGAGGAATGTGAGTATTAATATGACTGGGGGGTGGATTCATTTAGGCTATTTACAGTTGTAGCACTTATTTATCATATCCCTACTCAATATTGCCATGATCTTTTCTTTGTTTGTATATAACTCTTAAATGTAATCCACAAAATTGTTCTATGAGAATTCATTCAAAACAAGTAAGTTTCATTAAGTAACTGAGAATGCCTTTGCTGTTTCTGTAATACCATGTGAAGTAGCTTTTAAAGCGTTACATAAAATAAATGTATTATTAGTAGTAAGTTATGTTTTGTCCTATGCAGGAAAAGATGCCAATCCCTTCTGTGGTGATTGAGCCTGCCTCCAGTAACGAAGGTGATGATGACCGTGATGCTGACATAATCTCTCCCACCACCATCAGTGACAACGGAGTGACAGCTGAGAACCAGACCATCAAACACATGAGTCCATCTGGTGGAGCGTCTGGGCTCCCTGATGACTTTCTCTACAAGGTGGCAAACTAAAATAATGCACTATTGCTTTTACATAAATAGTTAACATGCTCACATTGTTGGTGGTGCTGTTTTTCTGCCTGCAGGTGGAGACGATGCATGACTTTGAGGCTGCAAATTCAGATGAGCTTGAATTGAAGAGCGGTGATGTGGTGTTGGTGGTTCCCACTGCTTCAGTAGAGGATCAGGTGAGAACAACTGATCACACTTTAAAGTCCAGTAATTAGAGGACAGCAGTAACCTGGAAGACAGGAATAAGCATAATCTGAACTTTAATTGAGGCTGGCAGTGATGTGAATGTGGCAGTGATGTGAATGTGGTTGTTTTTATAGGATGCTGGTTGGCTCACAGGGATCAAAGAAAGTGATTGGTTAACACGTGGAGCGGGTGCACAAAAAGGACTTTTCCCAGAAAACTTTACCCAGCGTTTGGAGTAAGAAAGGTCTTCAGCTGGTGGAAAAAAATGAGGAGATGTTCAAGACTTCAGTGTCCAAGCTGTCCAGTCAGCATGTAGCTAACCTTTTAAAACACCGTATAACCTGCTGCAGCTGTCTGCTGGACAACTCAAGGCTTCCTCTGATAGATGAAACTAAAACTCATGGTGATAAAAATCTAGTACTATTCCCAGCATAACTGAAAATTAATAAGCATGATGTGATAGTAAGGTCTACCCTTCTCTGGAAGTGAGATGTGTTTTTTGTGTTGAAAGAAAAAAAAGATGTGTGATTTATTGGGAATGTTGCAATCTCTACATGTTCACACATACAAAAGGGAGAAAAAAGTTTTCCGAAGAAAAAAAAAAAAGACAAACGGTACCCTCTTTACACTGAGTGTGTTGTACTGATTTCATTGCTCTACTGTGGAATATACCAGAATATGTAGTGCTGTGACTTATTTAAATGTTTTTGAGTGTATCATGAAACTCTTGATTTTGTTGGTTCTTTCAGACTGTTACCCTTGAATCACTGTTAGTGTATTTCTGTAATACCATGGTTACGTGTGTGGTGATCTATTTTTTGGCAGATGTAGTGATGAATCAACTCTTCAATGAGTGTTGCTGTGTTTTTGCCAAATGACTACTGACATTTATTATCTGAGCACTGGTAAACAAACTAGTGCACATCAGCATGACAAAGTATTCTAAGATGCAAAAAATAAAGAATCTGCCCTCTATTGAAAAGATCATTGTATAGTTGTATAAGTCACATGTCTTAAGAAAAGTATATTTTCAAGAAACGGAGCTAATCAGAAGACAGTTTCATCTCATCAGCTATTTATTTATCAATCACAGGGAAGGTATTAACAAAGGCAATATGCAATCTGTGTTGGTTTATTTCAGGTCTCCGCATTCCAGCAGTTCTGTAGTTCAAATAGTGTGATGTCACTTTCTTTGATAGTGAAGTTCAACCTCAATGTAGACCTTTTTGTGATGTATATACCATAAACATTTATGTCAAGATCAATAAATAAGAGTTCATAAGGTATAATTTGTCAAGGTTTTGTGGCTGCAATAGTGCAGGTTTTGTATTCACAACCAAGCCAGAGCCCTAGATCACTTTAGAAATTAGGATAGGGGAACTGCAACAAACAAACAAAAACACAATTACATAACAAGTAATTAAAGTAGCTGTAATTAAACCCCTTCTTAAAAAAGCCCACTCTTGACCCAGGGGCCAACTATAGACCGATTTCTAACCTCCCCTTCCTCCCTTAGATTCTGGAGAAAGTAGTCGCCAAAGAGTTGTGTGACTTTCTACATAACAATAGTTTATTTGAGGATTTTCAATCAGGATTTAGAGTTCATCACAGCACAGAGAAAGCTCTGGTTAAAGTTAATAATGACCTTCTGATTGCTTCTGACAATGGACTTGTCTCTGTACTTGTATTATTAGATTTTAGTGCTGCATTTGACACCATTGACCATAATATTCTTTTACAGAGACTTGAGCATCAAATTGGCATTAAAGGAACTGCACTAAGCTGGTTTAAGTCATATTTATCAGATCGCTCGCAGTTTGTACATGTTAACGATGAATCTTCAATAAATACTACAGTTAGTCATGGAGTTCCACAAGGTTCTGTACTTGGACCAATACTATTTACTTTATATATGCTCCCTTTAGGCAACATTATTAGGAATCACTCCATTAACTTTCACTGTTATGCAGATGATACGCAGTTATATCTATCAATCAAGCCCGATGAAATTAATCAATTATCTAAATTACAAACATGTCTTAAGGACATAAAATCCTGGATGACCTGCAATTTCTGATGTTAAACTCAGAAAAAAACAAAATTCTTGTTCTTGGCCCCAAAAACCTTAGAGTCTCACTGTCTAAAGATATAGTTACTCTAGATGGCATTAACTTGGCCTCTAGCACCACCGTCAGGAATCTTGGAGTTATCTTTGATCAGGATTTGTCATTTAACTCCCACATAAAGCAGACCTCTAGGACTGCCTTCTTTCATTTACGTAAGACACATACTATCACAGACAGATGCAGAAAAACTAATCCATGCATTTGTTACTTAAAGGCTGGATTACTGCAACTCTTTATTATCAGGTTCCCCCAATAAGTCCATTAAAACGCTCCAATTAATTCAGAACGCTGCAGCACGAGTACTGACAGGAACTAGAAAAAGAGATCACATCTCTCCTGTACTAGCTTCTCTGCATTTGCTCCCTGTAAAATGTAGAATTGAATTTAAAATCCTCCTCCTCACCTATAAAGCTCTTCATGGTCAGGCCCCTTCATATCTTAAAGAGCTCATAGTACCCTATTACCCCTCTAGAACACTACGTTCTCTGAATGCTGGGCTACTTGTGGTTCCTATAGTCTCTAAAAGTAGAACAGGAGCCAGAGCCTTCAGTTACCAAGTTCCTCTCTTGTGGAACCAGCTTCCAGTTGTGGTTCGGGAGGCAGACACCCTCACCACATTCAAGAGTAGGCTTAAGACATTCCTCTTTGATAAAGCTTATAGTTAGGGCTGGATCAGGTGAGTCCTGAACCATCCCTTAGTTATGCTGCTATAGGCCTAGACTATCGGGGGATTTCCCATGGTGCACTGAGCTCCTCCCTTCCTCTCTCTTTGTGCACTCATTCATGTCCCATTAATGCATGTTACTAACTTCACTTCTTCCCCGGAGTTCTTGTGCTTTCTCGTCTCGCAGGTTCTCATGGATCCTGGTGGAGCCTCCTGCCATGGTCCTGCTTGACTGCCATTGCCAATACTGTTGTTGCTGTGCACCTGTCTGTCTGTCTGTCTGTCTCTCGCTCTCTCTCTCTCTCTGCCTCTCTCTCTCTCTCTCTCTCTCTCTCTCTCTCTCACCCCAACTGGTCGAGACAGACGACCACCCACCTAGAGCCGGAGGATCTGTCCTAGGTTTCTGCCTTTTAACAGGCAGTTTTTCCTTGCCCTTGTCGCCAAGTGCTTGCTCATGGTGGTACTGTTGGGTCTCTGTAATTAATGTTAAAGAGTTCGGTCTAGACCTGCTCTATTTGAAAAGTGTCCTGAGATAACTTCTGTTATGAATTGGCGCTATACAAATAAAATTGAATTGAATTGAATTGAATAGTTGGGATCGGGCCTAATAGACAGGTTGATGGCTTCGATGAAGAAATGATTGAAGTTAACTGATGAAGATCGATAGCAGAAAAACAGTCTAAATATATATCTAAGTTGACATTGACAGAAGTCCCTGAACTTGGAGAGCCACTGTTGATGGCAGTTGGTGATTAATTTTTTCTCTAATAGAGATATTGGGATATCATTTCACAAAAAGTCTCATCTGCCAAAAGATTTCTGTCTAATTTCCAAGAGGGGCGTTCTAATTTGTAAGAAGGAAATGCAAGGTCTAAAATTACAGGGGCATCATCTGATTCAGCTATAGTTGAGTATTCAGTGTTTGTGACAAAGGGGAGAAGAGTTTGGTCAATAAAAAAATAATCTATCCTAGTATAGGAGTGATATACAGAAGAAAAAAAAGAAAAGGACTTGCTTTGTGGAAATAAAAAACAACAGGGGTCAACACTTCCTATCTGGTCCATAAAGGCTGATAATAGCTTGGCCTTTTTAGACAGGTTTGTAGATTTAGAATCGGAACGGTCTAATACTGGATTTATTACACAGTTTAAATCACCACCAAATATCAATTGTTGTGAGTTCAAATCTGGAATTAATGAAATTATTTTCCCCATAAATTTACCATCATCCCAATTTGGGGCATAGATATTAGTCAAAGCCACAGGCTTATGGTAGAGAAGCCCAGAAACCATTACAAAATATTCTTTTATGAATCAATATGGCTGTTCCACAAGTTTTAGAGTTAAGATTGGAATGGAATACATTCCCCACCCAACCTTTTTTTAGTCTGACTTGATCTTTAACCAGTAGGTGGGTTTCCTGTAGAAATGCAACGTCACATTTTAAGTATTTTAGGTGATTAAATATTCTGGCTCTTTTAACAGGTCCATTTAAACCTTTTACATTCCAGCTAATGAATCGTATAGCAGCCCTCTTTGCATCAGTACCATCTATCATGTTTAACTATAAAAAATAAAAATGAAAAGAATAGTAAGGAGGGATAAGTTAGAGCAATGATTGTGATAAAGTACACAGTTATGTTCGTTTCTTAAGTGAACAAAGGTGAACATTTGTTGCAAACATTTAGTGGTGTCCTTTTCCCTAACCCTATCCCATATCCAGAACATAAACAAAACTGGAACTAAGCCTATACTTGTCCTTCTCCCTGAGGCAAGCTGCAGGCTAAACACTATTTCCAAAAACTTCTGGCGATACATTCCTCTTGACACTTCTGCCCAGGAAGGCTCCCAGTGATAATGATATGTTAAAATAAAAAATAAAATATACAGAGGTTAGCTCTCCGCGACCGGTTCTCATGGTCGTCGATCCGATCCAGAAGTGACTGGTTATGATTTTGGAGCGTTTTAATGGTAGACTCCGCTACCATTAATCTTTCAAAGTTGTCACCAGCCACAGACTCAACGGAGGTGAGACGGCCCTGGAAAGAGTTCATCGTTGATTGTAGTGAGTCCATTAAAGTCTATAGTGGTTTAATAGCCTCTTGGATCAGGGAAGACACATCCTCCTTTAGTGAGGTTCTCTGTTTGGGGAATTCTGCTGACAGTTTGTCCATAGCCACAAATGCGGGTGCCTCGGGAGCTGCAGAAGTCTTCATTGATGTCGGAGAGTTGTTAGCTGCAAAAGATGCTAGCATGCCCGCCGCACTCGTAGCAGCACGTGTAGCCGGAGTTTCCACTTTGTTGGCTGATTTAGTGCTTTTAGGTTTGCTCATCTTATGCAGAGTTGACTAAACTAGGTGGAGCAGTGTTGGTTATATCGAAATGCTCAGAGAGACATTATTTATAAAGGAAAGTGACAAAAAGCAATCTGGGAGCCTTCGCGTGTGCATCCTCTCTCTACATGTCGCAACCGGAAGAGCCCCTATAGACGGATTTCTATTCAATTCAATTCAATTCAATTCAATTTTATTTGTATAGCGCCAATTCATAACAGAAGTTATCTCAGGACACTTTTCAAATAGAGCAGGTCTAGACCGAACTCTTTAACATTAATTACAGAAACCCAACAGTACCACCATGAGCAAGCACTTGGCGACAAGGGCAAGGAAAAACTGCCTGTTAAAAGGCAGAAACCTAGGACAGATCCTCCGGCTCTAGGTGGGTGGTCGTCTGTCTCGACCAGTTGGGGTGAGAGAGAGAGAGAGAGAGAGAGAGAGCGACAGACAGACAGACAGGTGCACAGCAACAACAGTATTGGCAATGGCAGTCAAGCAGGACCATGGCAGGAGGCTCCACCAGGATCCATGAGAACCTGCGAGACGAGAAAGCACAAGAACTCCGGGGAAGAAGTGGAGTTAGTAACATGCATTAAAGGGACATGAATGAGTGCAGAAAGAGAGAGGAAGAGAGTAGCTCAGTGCACCATGGGAAATCCCCCGATTGTCTAGGCCTATAGCAGCATAACTAAGGGATGGTTCAGGACTCACCTGATCCAGCCCTAACTATAAGCTTTATCAAAGAGGAATGTCTTAAGCCTACTCTTGAATGTGGTGAGGGTGTCTGCCTCCCGAACCACAACTGGAAGCTGGTTCCACAGGAGAGGAGCTTGGTAACTGAAGGCTCTGGCTCCTGTTCTACTTTTTAGAGACTATAGGAACCACAAGTAGCCCAGCATTCAGAGAACGTAGTGTTCTAGTGGGGTAATAGGGTACTATGAGCTCTTTAAGATATGAAGGGGCCTGACCATGAAGAGCTTTATAGGTGAGGAGGAGGATTTTAAATTCAATTCTACATTTTATAGGGGAGCCAATGCAGAGTAGCTAGTACAGGAGAGATGTGATCTCTTTTTCTCGTTCCTGTCAGTACTTGTGCTGCAGCGTTCTGAATTAATTGGAGCGTTTTAATGGACTTATTGGGGCAACCTGATAATAAAGAGTTGC